CTTTAAAAACCCCCTGGGCATCATTTATTGTACAAGTACTTTAGGATTGTTTAATAAGAATAGGCATTGATTTTAACCTAACAATTTCTTTGACAATCAAAGACTATTGCCCACTATGTCTCAGTGTAATTAGGTAACAACCTTTCGACCTAATGGATTACACGTTGACTGAACTTAATTTGCAAATATGATAGCTATGATTTTAGTGAGTAAATTTACAAAACATAAATTTTAATTAATGAATTTTACAAACATATGTGAAACAAGTAGTCAGCCAAAATAATCTACCAATAGACCAATTAAATGGTTACTCGAGTTTTAAATATTATGTGCTAAGTTGAATGGTCAATGGACAAGTATATATTTTGAAATTAAGTGCCCGGGGCAAGCCCCTATCTCTAAATGTCATAGCTCATACCTTTCCATAGAGTAACTATAGGTTAGATAATATTTGGTCATGTTTTATGACTATTTAAAGCCCAAAGTAGGCGAGGGTATTAAAAATGTTGCAAAACACTTGTCCTACCTCCATGACAAATATATTGTTGTCCCCGCAGATAAAGTCCCAAACAACATCGTTTTTGTGTGTAAATCACATTACATAAACTGCTTGATAAATGAATTAGGTATTGACAATTCACTTGGAAACTCAACATATACCCTACGAAACTTACTAAAGAGGAAATCCTGTATAATCATAGGCCTGTTCTATGTTCCTTTGGAATTTCAACCAAAGATGAAAAACTGGATCTTCCATCACTGTATTGGATACCTAAACTACACAAGTGTCCTAACAAGTGCTCCACGAAACCTCTTTCTAAATTATTAACATCAATTTTATCAGCAATCAAAGCCGGGCTTCAAAGTTATTGTTAAACTACCTATTCTAGAGGTGGCGTGAATCAGATGTGGATACTAAAAAAATCCATAGATCTTTTAGAGTACATACAATCTAAGACTCTTTCATCTTGCAATAGTATTAAAACATTTGACTTTTCTACACTTTACACAAGTATTCCCCATTCCAAACTTAAAGACAAATTGAAAGAGTTGATCCTGCTTTGTTTCATAAAAAAGAATGGCCAACGTAGATACAAGAATCTTGTCTTAGGGAGGGATAAATCCTACTTTGTAAAAAATCACTCGGATTCAAACAATAAATTCTTTGAAACTGACATTATCAAGATGATTGATTTCTTGAATGACAACATATTTGTTACGTTTGGAGGACGTGTTTTTCAACAAACAATCGGTATTCCCATGGGAAAATACTGTGCCCCTCTTCTTGCCGACTTGTTCCTTTATTCATATGAGGCTGACTTCATACAGGCACTTCTTATGAAGAAAGAAAAGAAGTTGGCAGTATCCTTTAACTTTACTTTCCGCTATATAGATGATGTTCTCTCACTAAATAATTCAAAATTTGGTGACTATATATGTTGAACGTATCTATCCCATCGAACTTGAGATAAAGGATACAACAGATACAGTTAAGTCTGGCTCATATCTTGACTTACATGTAGAAATTGACAATGAAGATCGGTTGAAAACAAAACTTTACGACAAAACAGATGATTTCAGCTTCCCAATTGTGAACTTTTCATTTCTATGTAGCAACATTCCAACATCGCCTGCATCCGGACTATATATCTCCCAGTTGATTCGATATTCCAGGGCTTGTATTTCCTATCAAGGATTTCCTTGCTATAGGGTTGCTGCTCACAAGGAAGCTATTAAACCAAGAATTCCAAGTGGTGAAGTTGAAATCATCCCTTTGTAATGTAAGTTTTACGGACGCCATCACGAGTTGGAATATCCGTTTCACAGATGATAACGGATATGTTCCTAATGTCGTAACTACTATCCCGCCCCCTTTTCCCGAATGTGACCTACCGAATCAGACTTATTACTTGGTTTGTACTAATATGAGCAACACGACGGGTGCTACATGTGGAGCAGGATCTGCTAATTACCCTTCTGGAGCACCTGAGATCACTCACAATTTTTGTTGGGATTTATGTTCCTCAGTCTTTAGTTTTCTATATTGTGTTTTGTGTTCTGTTGTTTGTCTATTAGTCTTTTTCTTTATTAGCTATGGCGTTGTCAATTTATTTTCGACTTATGAGTTTGAATGTCCGTCTGGTAACTTTCGCCTCTTTTAAATATTCATGATACATTTTTTTTTGTACATGACCAAGTATTGTCTGACCAATTTAGAACATATTCACACCTTTGAGTGACACAACGAAATTAGCCCATCATTGTAATAATCAAACCTTATTATTATGAGCTCACTTTAAGTGTTAACATGGTTACTGAAATGGACGTAAATCATATGTAATGCTTATTTCAACAGATGGAATGAAATAGCAATGAGATAGTTTGGTGGTAACATAAAAAGGATAAATTATTCAAAAATGAAAATAATTTTGTTTTGCTTCAGGTACAATTTAATACTTATAAACAGTCGACTGTCAATATCTCGATGGCAGTCGGACCAGAGAAATATTTCGAGATACCCGTAGTTCGACTCAAACGAATACCGGAAGTTTGACTAACAAAGGGACACAACTCTTGTTTACCTTGGTAAGGCTAAAATACATCAATATATATGAGTTAGGATCGATATTCTGGTCTGAGATCGATGTATCTGTATTTTATTGTCTTTTATAATTTTAACAAAATTGTGCTGTTTTTTTTTCTTCTCTTTGTTATTTCTTTGTACAGTAACTGTCTCTTTGTTATTTCTTTGTACAGTAAAAATTTTTATGGTAGTTTTCGGCAGAGAGAATCATTTGTGACATTGATTAAAAAGCATGTTGAAAGACAACAACACACATCTTACCATGCTTATGTAACACAATTAAATAATTTCTCAGATTTTAGAAAATTTAGATTTATTTTAATTTTCCTTTATTTCGATCTTTTCCCGTAAGAGAATACAAAAAATTAAGACGCCGACTGAGTAGTTCAAAGTTGTTCACTCACTCTCATTTTATGAACAATCAAGCTCATTAATTACGGTTAATTGATTATAAAACTTTTTAAATATTTTTTCGTAATCTATAACAATGTAATATTTATGACGGTGATCAAAGAAAACCTTAAATAAACACTCTCGGGAAAAGAATTTCATAAATCAAAACAGCTGTCAATGTCCGGAAATTTGATTACAGGTGTGTTGTCAGATAAACTGGTCAATCCATTTTAATCCCCGATGTCATGTTTTGACATAAGTGTATTACTTCGACCGAACGAATTCAATTTATATGTTTTTGCTAACGTTGGGACCATAACTTTAATTTGACACAGCCTAAATTTCGATTCAGCCAATTTTGACTCATCATGAGTCGAAATACATATGTTTGTATGGAACAAAGTTCGGGACCACGGGAAAATTTGGACTCATCCTTAATTTCGAGTCAACCGAGTTCGAGACAACGAGAGTTAACAGCTTCTAAAATTCTTTTATTTAAAAAGGACACAATGTTATTTAAATCAACTTTTTAAAATTGTATTATTTCAATAACGACAAAACTTCATCAATAAATTTTAGAATTACAATCGTTTCAACATCAAGTTTGTTTTATTAATGAATTTAATGCTTTTTTTTAAACAGTCACTGTCTTATTTAGAAAACAAAACATTGTTTTTAACGTCTTGTATAGAAAATAGATTAAAATATATTTTACCTTCACCTATGCTCCCTTTTCAATTTTTTTTTTTTTTGTTCTATATATTCACCATTATATAACGTTAACATTGTTTAAATCTAAACTTAAAATGCTTTCATAGTTCATTTATAATAATTAGACAAACAACAACTATCATGAGTTTTCAGAGTTCACTTTCATATTTAATCGACAATGAAAAATCATGTGTAGCATTTTATAGTGCATGGAAGCTATGTACTATCAAAAATAGAAGGGAAAATACCAATTTTCCTTTAGACGAGAATATAAGGAGTATGTTTGAACCGTTACTACTACGCTCTGTTACCTCTTGATTTTGTGATTATGTATAATTTGATTTTTAAAAAAATGACAAATTTCGTTAATATTTAGCAATACACAAACGAAATGAAACTGATATAATTATTAATCAATTAAATGGTAGCCCATCTATCCATTTTCTCAAAAAACGCATACGTTCGGTAGCTTATACTTAAGTATAATCTTAGGCGTTTTTGTTTTTTTTTTTAGTTTAGGGGGTTTTATGCATAACATTTAAGTAATGTGGGCGTGACTTAAACGAACTAAGATTTCACTAAACTTAAAGGAAATACTTAGTGTAAGATTTTGTATGCATACCACTTAGATAAAAGGGACGGAATTTCCTTAACTTAAGTGTTTACTAGCTTTATGCATAGGAGCCAAGGTCTCTAAGAGTAGAGGAAATGATTACACCCCAACTTTATAACGGTAATTTTTCTATCAATTCTTTTCCGATATATTTTACTTGTCACAGCTGTTTGGATCTATTAATGTACAGGAAGTATATAAATTACTTCAAAGTTTATCCTGGACATTGCTTAATATATATGTACAAAGATAATCCAAATATAGAGCATTCTGCATTTATGAATCTAGGTTTTCTTACTCTTGGACACTTTTTGGCTATCGAACAGATTGTGCAACTAGTTCCGATGACTGATTAATTGATTCTCGTTTGTTAAATGTCCAGAGACAAATTAATGTATATTCAGGACGAAAAAATATTAACTTTGATCTGCAAACGGGATCGACATAAAAGTCTAGGTGGGAACTTGGTCATAAGAAGACTAATCGATTGTTGGTTGCTTAACGTCCAGTGGCAAATAGTTCATACAAGTTCAGGACAAAGTCACTGGCAGAAGTCTGAGGGTTGAGGTAAACTGACCCTACCCTCAATCTCCTGTGATGATTAGATTAACATTAGTCGTAAACTGTGATAACGAAAGTAGTATACGTGTTTATAAACTTATACTACATGTAAACAAAACATATTCCAATTATACATACCTGTATAGTTTTCCAGACGCTGGTAGACATTTTCTCCAGAGTTGTCTTCAGGATATGCAAAGTATTAGTTTATTAACTACATACGGATATTGTACGTGCTTGATAAATTATGTTAATTAATCATACATGAAGGGATTCTGCCATTTTTAAATCATGTGTATACAGGTATGTGAATACGTGTCTCATATTGATACGATTTTATTTTTAGAACACAGGGTTTCAGTATTTAACAACGATAAAAAATCACTGTGTCTAAACTACCCCGGCAAAAAATGTTTGGACTCGATGGTATCTAATATCCGGCACGGTGACGGAATATCAAAAGACAGAGAAAAGGTAGTTTTCTGTTTATTTATTTGTTATTGTTATGATATCGAAGAATATTTATACATATATAACTATTTTCTATTGTGAGATGTAATATTTTCTACAACCATTCTAGATTAACGGAGAAATAAGTAAAAATGCACGTCAAAATGACCAATTGAGTGAACCTTGCCTCGAATTTGTTTAATTTCTCTTTAAATTGTTCACATTGTACGGAAAGAAATGTAAGGAAAGAAAGATATTGACATGCAGATTGCAAAACTAATCACTTTGAGCACCTCAATATTTGTATTTCTGTGTATGGAACGAAAGAAATGGGTCATGTCAAAATGGAAGCACCCGGTTTTGTCAATGTGTACAACCCGGTTTTGTCCTAGATTTCACAAGGCAGAACCCGGTTTTGTCAAAGATAAAAAAAATGCATAATCGCATAACATAATTGAACTTCAGCAATTAAAAGGTGTTTGGTGGCTGGTTGGAAAACGATTTCTTACAGAGGACAACTTATTATTTATTTGAATCTGAACACTTGAATTCCTACATTATTGGAACAAAAATAATTATCATTTTGCTTTGCATTTAAAAAAAAAATACTCTAACTGCGAAATAGATAGAAATGAAGGTTAAACCGCAAATTGAGGTTTAAGCTCTCTATACCTAGGGGTGTAATATTTCCTATGATCGTTTAAAATAAATTTAAGGCTAAATGTTCATTATAAGGCATGATATCAGACAAAAGTATAATGCTTGCAGAATCGCCATAGAAAATGAATGTTTATGGTGAGAAAAGGATTACAATAATCATGCATTAAAAATCAAATTTATCTATCCCTAATTGTAACTATAATACTAAGTATAAATTAGTATAATAGTCTCAGGCCATCAAGAAAATGCAATAATGATTATTTTATTAATAGTTGTATAAATAAACGGTTCTGTTATCTCTCCATTGTGTTATGATTATCGTACATTGACCTTGGTCAATATATTATTGCCAATATATAGGGATGGATTCAGGTTTTTTCAAAGTTGGCGTAATTCAAACAGCTTACATACCGCAGAGCGTAGCGAAGCGAACAATGTTTTGGACGAATTATGCTAAAAAAATCGTAAAAAAAAGATTTAATATTTTTTGGGCCATCAAAGGTGGGGAGTGGGGAGCGTGTGACCTTTACACCGCCTGGATTCGCCAATGATGTTTTATAACTAAATCGTATACCAACTTAAAATTTTATAAGAAATAAGAAAGCAGGGACACCTGCGAAATTGGATGTATGTGAGTAGGATTATCATGTTTATTCTAAAAATTCACATTGATATTTTGGAATCGTCGGAATGCGAGACCAAGGGATGCAAATTCGTGGCGGCTTGAACTATTTGTATGAAGCTTCATATGTCAGAAGATAGAAGGCCTGACTGCAACATACAGAACCTCGCACACAGATCTTTTATGTAACGATGTTTCTATCTGTCATATGCCCATTGCCCTTGACCTCATTTTCAGGGTTCAGCGATTTCCTAACAAAATGAATAGCTGATAATGGTTTATATATATGATCAAGGTTAACATTTCGTGTTCAAATCCATATCTCTAATACCATAGGTAATAGGTCAGCTATATTTGCTCGTATGGCGCACATGACTATTTAAGTGACCTTGAACTTATTTTCTTGATTAATTGGTAAATGTTAAGGTTTTTTTTGGTTGGTTTTAATGATTGTAATGTGTTCATGTCCGTCTGGCAGGTTTCATCAGACCTTGACTTTTTTGTTCCATGAACAATGTTAATTTTATGAGATACTTTTATCAAATTATTTATCTTACAGATCTTCAAAATAAATTCGATAACGATCATTGCAGCAGTCGCTACATGTCAGTGCGTACAGTCACTCTTGTACAAATAATACGTAGTATTTATTTTTGTTAAAAAAAAACGCAATTGAAGTTGTTTTGCCATGTCTGATTAGTTTATCTCGTTCGTGCAAGCCTTAATTATGAATTGTTAGACTTTTTTTTTAATTCAAGAACGGTGCAATCTTGTTTGGAATTCTTGGTTGGTTTTAGCTCACCTGACCTCAAGGGAAAAGTGAGCTTTTTTCATCACTTGGCCCCCGTCGTCCGTCGTCTTCCGTTAATTTTTTACATAATCTTCTCCTCTGAAATTACTGGGCTACAATACATTCAACAAACCTTATCCACAATCTTATGTCGGTTTTAAAAGGTCTAACGAAATTATGTTTAACAGTTTTTCATCATCATTGGGGTATCTAGTTTAAAAAGTTTTTGATGACACCGCTTGTCAACAAAGATGGCCGACATGGCTTAAAATAGAACATGGGGGATGCAAGTTTTGTCTATTATTTGAAAACAGCTATAGATAGAGAAAATTTAACAGGGACAGATATGTTCATAATGTTGAGCTTTACCTTTTGTCCATACACATCAAAACTCTCACACGAATTCTTATTGAAGTTAATGTCCTTGAATGACAAATTTCTCCCTTTTTTCCATTTCTGTCTATTATCTTGAAATATATAAAAGTTATATAGCAAAAATGATCAGCAATATATACGAATAAGTCGACTTGGTCGATATCCTTGTAAGAATTATTGACCTTTAATTACGATTTTTACCATTTCTTTGCGTTTTTGCCAATTATCTTACAAAAATCTTCTCCTCTTTAACAATTTAATCAAACTTGGCCACACGCTTTATTGAGGTATCTGGTTTGAAAACCCACACTATCAGCCATTTGTTAATTTATTTTTTGTTTCAGGGTACCAGTGTTAACGTTGCTTTTAATAAAATAAACAAAACCGGGTTCTATACATAGACAAAACCGGGTCATTGTGTAGTAAACAACATTGACAAAACCGGGTGCTTCCATTTTGACATGACCTATTTCTTTCGTTCCATACGCAGAAAAACAAGGATTGAGGTGCTCAAAGTGACTAGTTTTGCAATCTCCATGTCAATATCTTTTTTTCCTTACATTTCTTTCCGTACCATGTGAACAATTTAAGGAGAAATTAAACAAATTCGAGGCAAGGTTCACTCAATTCGTCATTTTGACGTGCGTTTTTACTTATTTCTCCGTTAATCCAGAACGGTTGTAGAAAATATTACATCTCACAATAGAAAATAGTTATATATGTATAAATATTCTTCGATATCATAAAAATAACAAATAAATAAACAGAAAACTACCTTTTCTCTGTCTATTGATGTTCCGTCACCGTGCCGGATATTAGATATCATCGAGTCCAAACATTTTTTGCCGGGGTAGTTTAGACACAGTGAAAATACTCCCAAGTTGTTCTAATTCTGAAAAAAAAAGAATATGTGTTCATACAAATGTGAAGTCAAATGTAGATGGATTAATTTCACGAAAAATAACAGTAATTTAAACACAACAATTATATATGCAGATACTAGTATAACAAATGCAGACTTCACTAACAATGTACGTACGTGACTAAACTTTTAGTATGTAATACCCAGTACCGTTGAGGTTCCACGGGGACAAAGACTAACTAGTGTTAACTATATAAATATCCTACATTTGTACTATATAAAAATAAGGATATGTGGTGTGATTGCAAATGGAACAACTGTATATTTATATTTATATATCCACCAGAGTTCAAATGAAGTCGTAAAATCATAGGTAGACCAACGTTCGGCCTTCAGTAATGAGAAAAGTCCATACCGTATAGTCGGTACCGACAAAAGAAATGTGAAACAATTCAAACGAGAAAAAAAAAACGCCTAATTTATAACAGAATGATTTACGAAAAATAAGTATGACAGACATGAACCAACGAAAACCACTGACCTACAGGCTCTTGAATTTGGACAGACTTATAAAGAATTTCGCGGGGTTATTGCTTTCGGTAAGTGTTGAGGGTTAGTATATTCTAAAGCAGGCAATTTAATCACTTCAGTACATATTACTTTTATGTCTAGAATTCAAGCTAAATTATTTTCTTAGGTAACATATAAGAATTCATTTCTCGATGTTCACTCCAAGTGTGTGCAACAACGGTTTTCAATAATACGCTAAAACGGATTGTACTGTGGACGAATGGGTTTCCTCTCTTTAAAGAGATGAAGTTAATAACGAAAATCAACGTCTTTGTATTTTGGAATAATTGAGCCCTAGAAAACTCACTGGGCATCCAGTACTGTTATTAAAAAGGATGGTTCAACAAGAATAGGCACACACCTTGACAAAATTGAGTGTTTGAAAATATGACAGTTGCCAAAAGCAATGACAGATATTCAAAGTTTACTTGGAACATGCTAATATTTTCGCAAATTTATTTGAAATGTTGCAAATATAGCATGGTTGTTCCAGGAATTAACTGAGAAAAATTACCCTTTTTGTATTGACAAACTAATTAACTGAAGCTTTTTAAAAACTCATAACGTAGTTAATGACAGACCCCTTTTTAGGTTATACAGATATCACAAAACAGTTTATCCAATTGCAAGACACTGATGCTATTTGTTTTAGTATACAAATAACGGTGCTGTTCAGTTTCAAATTCACGAAGGAAAAGGAATCGTTGTAATATACTTCAATATATCTCTCAGCAAAGCTCAACGACAATACTGTGTAACGAGACGATAACTTTTGGCTGTAATATAAAGCATCAAACTTGTTCATCACTATCTATATGGCACAAAATTCACAGTGCGAACAGATCTTGGAGCTTTAACATGTCAACTCAGGTTCAAAATTCCAGAAGGGCAAATGCCAGATGGCTGCAAACATTAAAATCATAATATTCATCAGTGGTGTTAACGACAATGTGTTCTT